AGACTTACAAACTTAGTTTCAGTGATGTCATATTGTTCTTTAATTTAGCCGGAATAGCAAGCTGCTTTCGATCATCTGTACAAGTGCCATTTAATTTGTGTATTACACAAATCTTTCCACGAAACAGACAGTTTTAAGTGCAAAAGGTGCGAAAGTGCAGAATCACTCCAGCATCCCCTTAAAAACTTTTCATTTAAGATTAAAATATTCCTTTCTCTGTAATAAATATGAATCTTATTCTCCTCTATCGAATTAAAAAAAAGATCGACTTACTATATTGAGGCAAGAGTAACTTGTATAAACGTAAGTTTATATATTCTTGCGTTTAGAATAAATTTTCCCTCCATCTTACAACGCACGAGATGGGCACCGCGATATTCGACAAAAGACGACACATACTATCATTTTATTCTACATTTTACAATTTTGCATGTGAGATTAAAATGTTTCTTCTCTATAATAAATATGATTGGCGCTATATCGATCCTAGTTTCTGATACATTCAAGTGTAATAGCATAGAAAGTTTTTCTGTGGGAGTCCCTCCAACCTGTACACCATTATTCGGTCAAGGTGTATAAATAACAAGAATAAAGACTTATTTGCGAAAAATATTACCACATGCCTCACCCAGTGAGAAATGATTTGCCGATCGATGTCGAAACGATGTCGACTCGACGCCAACTTGACGGTGTCGATTCGACATCGATCGACGAATCATTTCTCACTGGGCAGCGATCGAATTGGTCGTCCGCCTAGAGTGTTGGGAGGTCCAGGTTAAAATGTTGGCTGAGGTGACATTTTTCGCGCTAAATTTCTCTAATTTGAGTCCGCGAGCCGTGTCGTTTATTAATTTTTCTACATTGCTGAATTTAATTTAGCTGCAACGTATTAATGCTCGCAAGTTCGATCGCCGTGTTCAACTCGGTCGAAAGTTCCTCGGGACGACGTTGGAACGGGCACGCGCGTGAGGAAGACGAGGAGAAAAAAAAGAAACTGCTTTCACGTCCGCGTCGCGCGAGGATATCGCGGAAATAGAAAACGTTATACAACGCGGTAACAAACGGCGACTCCGTCGCGATTCCGCTATGCGACGGTGCTATTTGAAGATTCTTAGCGGTGCATCCTGGCGCAAATGCACGCGCACGCGAGGGCAGGGCGCGGTTTCGGGAAAACGTGCGTTTACACGGGTATCGCATTCCTCCGCTGCTTTAGAAAGTATACACGCGCGAACGGGTTACGGCTGGGAATTAATTAACCCGGGCGCAGTACCGATTCGCGCAACAATTTACCAAAAAATTTATGACGTCCGGCAAGTACAGACAAATTGCGGCACGTGAAATAACAAAAAAGTATACATATGCAAAATTGCATTCACTTATTTTCCTTTAATGTATGCAATTCGGCTGCGCCTCGTGCAATTCGTACAAGTTTAAAAGTATGATAATAAAATATAATAAAAATGTAAAAGACACAATGTGCGCATACATATTCTGTTTTTCAGAGGTCGGGCGGTGTAGGAGCGTGCCTGAATATTTTTCAACTTTTATGAATCGGCCGAAAGGACAATCGAGTTGCATATATGAAAGAGAATACCCGGTGAGAAATGATTCGTCGATCGATGTCGAATCGACGTCAATTTGACGGTGTCGATGTCGATTCGACGTCGTTTCGACGATCGTTTCTCACCGGGGCTTTTGGAAATTTTAGAAATATAATCCGTGCCGCGTTACGTCGTTACGTGGAAAATTGGAGGGAATTGCGAACGGAGGAATTCACTTCGGGAGGCTGTAAGTAACTGGACCTTTCAGGTGGCGCGATATAATACACGTCTACACTCCGCGCGGAGAGTTTTACCGCAAAAATGCGGGAAATGACGCTCGATTACGATGTACCGGTAACTGATGGCGGCTGTAAAAAGTTTCGGTACCGTCACTTTCTATTTAAGCGCTGGAAGAGTTAGGAGCGTACACGAAGGCGATTTAATGCACGCTCGATCCCGCCGTCTTTAAGTAAGCGTCGGCAAACAGTAGCAGTTCGTTCGGACGACAAGTAGCTCTCGCGAGTCTTCGCGTTCCCGCGTGTTCCGTGAAATATGAGCGGCTCGTAGCGCAAACTTTTGCGAAGGCAAAGCCTCGCGGCGAGCCGTGCACTCGGCTCCGGGAGAGTCGCGATTTAACGCGAGACGTCTAAATAAAGGGACACAAAGTTCCTTTGGCGTTTTACTATCTTTCCTCTCGGGGAATATGGATCCATTTAAGCCTCATTCTAATCGCGGCCTGGAAAGCGCCTCTCTGGGAGGGAAAAGAATTTCTCCGCGCTCATAAATAAATCAGCGAGCGTCTCGCGATGAGAAAGAAGGATTTTTCGCGTGTTGGGAATAAATCTCTGCTAGAAAGTAACGCGGCGCTTTGTGATCTTTTTTCTTCTCGGAAAATCGACTCGTCTGCCACGAGTTGGTACAAAACGTATCCGACCATCGATTAGCTCGGCGCAACAGTACGAAATTTCCTAAAAATAGACGTGCAGTTCGATAAAATCATCGGTAAACAATCAATCAATTAATCTTGTTACTTCGCACAAACCCCCGAGCGTTTCGATTAACCCTGCAATACTGTTAATTTTACAGCAGCTCTTGCAGAAGGGAACGCAATTATCGCTCGCGCTTTTTGTCAATTCACATGAAAAATAAATGACAGCGTGGACATAAACGCATCGACCTAGACGGCGATGAGTGACCAAGTGGAGAGAAAACGTCGTTGAAAGACTCGTGTCTGGCGAGAGCGCGCCGCGATTCAAAATCGAGAAGATCCTCCGGGGCACTCGCGGGAAACGCGTCACCGCAAGCCGGAACTCACCTCGCGATCGTATTCGTTCCCGAGGACGACACCGGCGGACTCCCGGCGGTAAATCCTCTCGGCGCTACGAAACCCTCTGGCACCCCGTGCGCGGACAGCCGTGTGGTAGCACCGCCGGCGCGACGATGCGTTCCGTTTATTTACAACGACGGCACTCTCCCGTACGTGGTTCCTCCGACGCGCGCCTCTCGCTCCTTCCGTTCAGTCCGCGCAGAACGACACCCGTGTACTGGTTCCCGTCCCGTGCCGGGCCGCCGCTCGGCGGCCTCGTATGATGACCCCCTTCTAGAATTCTACGGCCCTCCTGACGACCGGCGTACGACACGTTCACCAGCGGCGCGCGTCCGTCGTCGCGCGACCACGTCGGAGCGATCGAGATCGATCGCGCTCCGAAAGGAGGATCTCGGCGAGGGGATTTACGTGGTAAATCCCGCGCGCGCGAGGGAGGCCGCTCGCGTCCCAGACCCACAGATGGAGGAAAGTCTCCTGTTATAGGCTCCTAATGGCGGGGTTTCTGCTAAATTAATATGTAGACATTGACCGACGATTCCACCAGGAATTTCTCGCCCTCGGAGTGAAGCCTGTTTAGTGGAGAATTGATTGTTGGATCGTGTAATCGTTGAATTTGGACGTTGAAAACCTACTATCTTATATTAGAATTCTATCTCATAATAGAGGACTTGCCTCTACTATTAGACTGCTACCTTTGAGCTGAAAAGTGAGGCAAGAGTTCCGCCATGTCTTGTATAGTAGCGTCACTCACAGACCGATGTGCACTACTTTATTTACTTAACAAGACATGGCGGAACTCTTGCCTCACTTTTCAACATCATCTGTTGATTCCACCATGAATTTTTTGCCCTTAGAATGAAATCTGTTTAGTGGAGAATTGATTGTTAGATCGTGTAAGCGTTGAAAACCTTATACTATCTCATATTAGAATTCTATCCCATAATAGAGGACTTTTCTCTACTATTAGACTGCTACCTTTGAGACCTTGAAAAGTGAGGCAAGAGTTCCGCCATGTCTTGTATAGTAGCGTCACGCACGGACCGATGCACACTACTTTATTTACTTAACAAGACATGGCGGAACTCTTGCCTCACGTTTCGCCATCACCTGTTAATTCCACCATGAATTTTTTGTCCTCGGAGTGAAGTCTGTCTACACACAGAAAAATATATACTACCTGCAAGTAAATGTTATTTGTTCCAGGTATTTGATAAGTTTATATATCCGCAAATCTATCATAATGTCGTCGCAAGTGTTATATTTACTCAAAACATATTCTGGTTCTTAGTAAGTCTAGTACTTGAAACAAGGATACATAGAATTATTTGAAGCAAAACAATTTTGTTTCTTCTGATTTTATTAAAAGAAGCATACGGAATTCTTCAATAAGTTTTATAATTTTCTTCAAAGAAGAATAAATTCTTTCTTCGAGTATAAGATGGCAAGCTTTTCTAATACTAGTAACAAGTATATCTTAAAATTATTATTAAGAAAATATTCTTTGTTGAAGCAAACTATTACTTAAACGGAATAAAATAAACTGAGTAATTACTTTTCTTGACTGTACAATAATATTTTTCTGTGTGTAGTGGAGAATTTAGTGGAGAAATTGAGTGTTGGTTCGTGTAATCGTTACGAGAAAAGATTTGTCATTGAATGCGGACGTTGAAACTCTACTGTCTCATATTAGAATCCTATCTCATAATAGAGGACTTTCCCTCAATTACCAGATTGCTACCTTACCTGTTACCTGTTAGGTAAATAAAGTAGTATGTGTGCATCGGTCTGTCAGTGACGCTACTATACAAGACGTGGCGGAACTCTTGTCTCACTTTTCAGCTCGAAGGCAGCAGTCTAGCAGTATATAGAAGTCTGTGGCTAGACCTCGCGCGATTGACTTCCGCCTCGGCAACGAGAGCGGATCTCCGGAATTCTCGGAAACGCAACTGTCGAGCCGAAAGAGATCCGTTTTGTCGCCCTCCATTTGAGGTCTCACTCGGGAATCTGTTATCGGGAGTGAATTCACGCTTTGGTTGGACGAACGGTTGCGAATCTCGCGTAACGAGGCGCTTATTAGTCAGTTAGATTGCTATTGTACGAGCCTCACCCCCAAAATTCGCGGTGTCACGACCGCGACGCGGTCGCATCAATAATGAACGCGACGGATTAATCGATGCGAACGAATTATTCACGGGCGCTATACGCTTCGGTGAGGTTCCACTTATGCGTTGAGAAGGACGGTGTGTTCCCAATGTTCGCTTAAATTTCCTCCGAGAGATTCGTCGCCGCGAAAGAAACGAAAAAAAAGCAGGAACGCGAAAAAGCGGGGATATTTCCAGACACTCGAGCCGCGACTGAAAAATCTACAATGCTCTTTACGTCTAGGAACATTGTATTTTATATAAGCAAATCTAAACGCGTGAAAAGTTTGTCGGCAATGTGCAATACGTAATGTACAGTTCGTCACTTTGCACAAATTTTTTAATGTGTTTGTTGGCCACAAAATACCATAGCATGTTTCTGGACGCGAAAAGCACATTGTAGATCAGGCTCAAATCCGACTTCTGCGTAAATATTGTTGTAATACAAAACTACATGAAGATCGTTTAAAAAGACGACAGAGATTCTACGAACATTTCGCTTCTTGATTTACAATTTAATTATTATTTAATAAATTTAAAAAATTAATTCGTATGCAAATTGTCGCAGAAGACATTTCTGTAATTCAATAACAATCTTTGAATTAATCCTTTTAATTAATATTCCATTACTGTCTTGGCATCGTGATTTAGGAGAAGATATTTCTTAAATTCAAATTAATTTCACGTGTCAATATGTGGTAATCACTGTCTTAACTATCGATATTGGCGAATATCGACAGCCCATTGATGTTATGAATTTTGCGAGAAAGATGCAAATCGACTCATCTTTCACAAGGTCGAATCTCGATTTTATGTAATTTCTGAATTTTGTGCTTAAACGCTCATTCTGGACCAATCGGAAGTCGCGACTTATCTCTTTCGCACGGTCGCATCTTGATTTTGCGCAATTTTTGAAATTTGTGCTTAAACGCTCATTCTGAACCAATCGGAAGTCGCGACTGATCTCTTTCGCACGGTCGTATCTCGATTTTGCGCAATTTTTTATTTTTGTGCTTAAACGCTCATTCTGGACGAGAAATATCCTTTCTCGTTGCCGCAAGGCTGCCAGTTGGCGCCGACTTTTCCCTATTTTATTTTCTCCTCGCCGAATCGTCGGTGTAATTCGGGCGTGCTGAAAATTAACGCGATTCCATCGGCAGGCGAGGAATTCGACGCTCGCGCGCGACCCGCTTACTCACCTTTACGGTACTCGCGGTACTTTCGGGCGAATCGCGCCGCGTCGGCGTGGAAACTCGCGCGATGGAACGCGAACGCGCTTCTTTCCCTCCGTGCCTTCCCTTCGGACGCGTTGAAATGTCACGGACAAACGATCGTGATTTTTACACGTTCTCCCATTTCGCGCGATCGCGATTTCTACGTATCGATAATTAAGCGCGATTGAATCGCAGGAATAATCGTAAAAATAACGATCGCGCGGCTGTATAATAAATGCGCATTCACGTTATTTAATTAAGGCCGAATGCAAATCCGTGAAAAAACTTGTTTTCTCGCGCGCGCGAGGTTTCCATTCGCGCGCGAAAGAGAAAAAGAGAACCTACCCACACAGCAAAAAATGTCACAAAGATACCTGGGAAATATCTAAATATTATATCTGATACAAGTCACGATTATTTCATCTGGGGTATGATGTTTGATTTTATATTCATTTTTAATCGATTTTTTATTTTTGCTTTCTCATAGAGGAAACTTTGCTTTCGTGAAAAATATATGAGATATCTGTATTTTAGTAAAATCGGATTGTACATATTACAGAATAGGTAATGTGATTAATAATACGAGTATATATTTGTTCATCATCAGTTGCGGCATAAATTATTAAGGAACGCGGTCTCCATCAGCCTTTACTTTTTTATACTATTAATGTAAACTCACATTTATCTTTTTTCCATTTTTTTTCTTGTATCGCTTCTTTTCTGTCTACATAAGTTTAGAAAACTTATTTACAGGAAAGGTTAAATAATAAACAGTTATTTAAAGACAAAAGAAATAATAAAAATAATAATATAAACAATATTTTTTAAAAAGAGATATCGGATGTCTTTCAGATTCTAAAAAGTCATGATTATTTCATCTGGGATATGATATCTGATTTTATATCAATTTTTAATCGATTTTAATTTTTGCTTCCTCATAGAGAAAGCTGTGAAAAAAATATTAGATATCTGTATTTTAGTAAAATCTGATTTTATATATTACAGAATAGGTAATGTGATAAATAACATATATTTTTTCATTATCAGTTGCGGCATAAATTATTAAGGAACGCGGTCTCCATAAATCAGCCTTTACTTTTTTATACTATTATTGTAAACTCACATTTATCTTTTATCCATTTTTTCTTCTTGTATCGCTTCTTTTCTGTCTACATAAATTTAGAAAACTTATTTAGAGGAAAGGTTAAATAATAAACAGTTATTTAAAGACGAAACAAATAAACAAGCTAAAAATATAAACAGTAATTTTTTAAAAGATATATCGGAAATGTGATATCCTTAAAATATTCAGAACCTATCATCTACGAGATATCTCAAATATGACCGGTGAAATGATATCCGATTTAAGTCTCAGATACATTTTGCTGTGTGGGTACGATACGCGGACGAAATACGTTTTCGAAGCGAGGGGACACTTATATTTAAGGGACGTATAAAATTAAAACTCGAGCGTTCGCGTGTAATTTAACGCCTTGATATGAATAAATGGATGGCTAAATCCATTCGCGGGACGGACAGATCCGTTGAAAACGATCGTTATTAATCGAGGACGGACTTTTAAATAGTTCACACGACGGCGGAGTCCGCGACGTTTTCAGGGATTTAAAGTAGAATCTAGGTTGATCGAAAAAAGCTCGTTAAAAATGAACATCGACGCATGAATTGCCGAGCGCGGAGGCATTGTACTCGCGGTCTTGTTCCGTCGCGCGCGGGCGCGGGAGGACCCGGCGGAAGGTGCACGGAGGAGAGAAACGTCGCGTCGAGGGGGAGGAATTCCTCAACGGTGTCGGAGTGGCGCGTGTCGGCCTGACACGTTGCATTCATACGGTGGAAACGCTAGATAGGAATGCCAGAGAACGAGTGCCGCGCAGAGAGTGCGGGAAAGAGGAACGCGACGAAGGGAGAGAGGGAGACCGTCCGCGCGACGAGCGTGTGCACCTCCTAGGTGGGCTCGCGAGCGCGAACCGGCTCGGGCGCGAGCGTGCGGCACCGAATGCTCGTCGCCGAGAGAGGTGAGGCCCAGTGACCGACATTCCCCTCACTCCTGCCTCCTTCCCGCCGATCCTCCGCCCGGATCTCGCGGCGACCCGAGGATCGCGAGCAGCCGGAACCCGCGCGGGCTCGTCGCCCTGAATTTCCGTTTAATACAGTCGTCCGAGTCGTAAAATGTATGATATACGTGCCGCTCGTTTCCTACGACAGCGCTCGAATTGTCATTTTTGAGTCGTTCGCGAAGGAAACGATAAGGATTCGATATGATTGGAGAGCTGCACACCTGGATACCTTTGTTCCCCTGCAATCACACACGGGAAAAGAAGTTTTTTCTTAAAATTTATCCCGAAAATCACGCAATCGTGGGACAACACATAGCATTTCGACGAATTTTGTTAGAGTCTTTTGAAATTTTATCAGGATTGCGA